GCCCTCTTTCCTGCCATGGCAGGGGATCAGACTTGATGATCTGCTCAGGTCCCTCCTGACCCTACCAACTATGAAACTTTGTGCATCAGTGTCCCTGCAATTAAAAATGGTGGGATGTCGCTTTAACTAATGCTCATTGAATGAGCTTTAAAGTGACCCTGCCACCATTTTTAAGCATGGGGACACCAATACACAAGACACTCTGGGCACTTTAATTAGAGTGGCTCTCAGAGCCACTAACCTTAACTCCTCCCCCCACTTCTAGAGCACATGTACAAACACCCATAGTAACTCCTACAGTTCTTGGTTGCAGCCATGTTGGTCTAAGGACATAGCCAGACAAGGTTCTTTGGGTAAATGTGATATCTTTTATTAAACCAGCTAATAAAATATATCACATTTACCCAAATAACCTTGTCTGCCATTGTAACCCCTAGGAATGGTATACTTGCATCTAATAATTCCAGACAACTTCTTTCTACATTACAGCCTATATACTCTTTCTTATGCCAAAGCTCTGCAGAATCACAGTTGGCATGACTGACATTTACTATACAACTTTTATGTTTTTCATGAGTGTCACTAAAAGTCCTGCATCATCATAGTTGCACTGGTGACACCCAAAGTGACACTTACAGAAAAGATTTAAAAATAAAATTAGCAATGTGTTTCTTTCATAAGCCTATGCACAAGCCGCACTGTGAGGGCACTTATGATACGCTATGAAGCAACACTGTACTGGGACACTTCGTACTAGCTCTGTGCACACTAGATTCAGACCCATAAGCAGAAATTATTAGCCTAATGCATGGTGCTACACTAATGAAGGTAAGCAGCTTCCAGTTTGGGAGCTAACATGCACAGAAGCTGTCACAGCACAGTACTGCTTTACACCGCACAAAGATGTATAAAGACACATAAGCAAAAGGCATCCCCATATTACCTGGGGCCCCTAGAGGCTACTTCAATACAAATAATAACCCAAGCTTTATTTTTGCCTCATCAATTCCCAAAGCCAGGCAGAACACAGGAAAAATTTAAAATGTTTTTTCTTATCAGTATATGCACTATTATATCCAAACCACTTTACCTGCATGAGTTTTGTATCGTGTCCTGTATACACGACTACGCCCAGAACCCACTGAGTGTTCCTAAGCTGTGCACCTCTTAGCAAGATCTGATCTGGCCCAACTGGAACTGGACTAGAAACCAAGGGAAAAACAAATTAATTAATTAAAAAATGAGAAGTGTATTTTTAGGTTATTCCGAAAACACTTTAAAGTTCTAAATTGTTTCATCTCCTTAATTTCATTTCAAAACACTTAGGAGGAAATTAATAGTTCAGTACATCAGAAACACCAGAATGCTGAGCACTCAATGCATTGGATTCAATTCTCAATTGCAGACAGAAAGATTGGGGAGATGCAAAGGAGCTATTTGAAGTTTTCCGATTGTGAGGACAGCTGTCACACAACCTTAGTACCCACCATAATTCAGATCAGCCTCAAGAGTGCTCTAGACCAATGTTTCTCAACTTGTGGGTCACGATCCAAAAAAGGGTCGCAAGAATATCTGAAAGGATTGCAAACAGTCACAGAAAAAAAATGCAAAAGCACGGGTTTCCCCTTGCAAGCTAGCAGCCTTCCATGGGCACTGGCAGGGCCGGGGGCTACAAGTCAGCAATAAGGGGTACCGGCAGGGCTGAGGGGCTCAGGAGTGAGGGAGTCAGGAGTGAGGGGCACTGGCAATTGCACAATGATGAATGCCACTTGGGAGTAATGGAGGGCCACACATTGATACTACTGTTCATGTTTTCCTCTTGATGTTGATTTATGTCTTTAAAATTAAGACTGTTGAGCTGCTTTAACTTGTAGTCTATAATAAGTATTCTGGGACCAGAATACTTGTGAGCATTTTACATGTGCTCCCCGCACAGTGCCAGATGCTTTTAATTAGCAAGCCGCACTAATTAAAAGCATTCGCGTGTCATGTGCATCAGTGGCACAGCATGTCCCCACGCAGAGAAAATGGCAGCAGAGCATTTTGAATTAAAGCACATCAAACATGTTTTATTTCAAAGCACACCACTGCCATTTTCTCTGCGCAGAGACATGCTGTGCCACTGATGCACATGATGTGCAAGGCTGCCAGACTGCGTTAATTTACATGCTCCAGCAGGCTCAATTAATCGAGTCTACTCCAACGTGCTGGATTTCCAGCTCATCAGAGCAAGCTCTCCACAACCGTGCAAGTGCCCTAGGTGTTTTCTAATTAAATTATTTACTGGGTCAGGACTGGCCATGAAAGTTTACAGATGGGTTCTGGTACAAAGAAGGTTGACTGCTTTAAAATTACATCTTACCCAGTGTGATTTCTGTACATTAAACACTGGGTAGATATTAAAAACAAAAACAAAAAAACAGAGCCATAATAAACACTCACTCAGTCTCAAATAGAACATTCCTCATGCTCATCAACATCATTAGAAGCCAGCACAAGGCAATAATGGGAGTTTGGTGACCTTAGTGCTTTTCACAGCTTGGTCATTGACCTACACATTACCTTGGGCAAGTCAATTCCTTTCTCTATGCCTTAGTTGCTATGTGTGTAAGAGGTGCATAAATGACACTTGCTCTCCTTTTTGAAGCGCTTAAAATTTTACAAATTCTAAAAGGGCCAAGTTACTTTAGTTGCCTATAAAATGTTAATCTTTGAATTTGGAAGCATGTAAGGTTTTTCTTTTTTTTGTCAAGGGTTCGGGAGGAGAAAGATCCCCCTCAACAGCAAGGCTGATTACAAACTTAACCATTAAGAGGCTTCTCCCGTAATGCAGAACTGGGACTGGAGCCCTTGTCCTCTAGTTCCAAAGTCACTGGCTTTAAGCCCTGGAAGCAAAGAGTCAAGTCAATAGAGCTATGCCACTTTAAACTAGCTAAGGAACATCATTAGCAGTCACCCAAAGAAATCTCTTTATGTTCTCTCTAAAGTACAACAGAGGGCAACACACATCCAAAAAGTGTTTCTTAACTGAAGGCAACTGTAGTTGATACCTTTGGCCATCTAAACGCAAATTTCCAATGAAGTCATAGAGGTGGCGGTTGGGTCCTTCACACTCAATCTTCCCAGACACTTTCATCAAATCATCTCTTGACTGGAGGCTAGCAGTTTGTGACAGCCCCTAAGGAGACCAACCAGAGGAGACAGCTGTCAGATCAAGTGTTCTTGTCAGCTTAACTTACAGGCATTATTCTACTATAGACTCCACTGTCTCACAGGCAGAACAACTGTACTTCATGCTTCTTGAAGTAATGATGTTCATGAGCTACAGAAGCACTGGCCTACCAAAAATATTTTTTTTTATATTTAACACAGATGAGTGTAGTCACAGTTTCTCTCTTGCCCAAGTACACTAGCTGGAATAAGGAACTGCATGTTATCTGTATAGCCACTTAGCCCCACAGCAGGAGCAGGCTTCAGCAAGCTGCTTTGTTTCCCCAACTTGGCATGGGAGCATAAAAAAGTATAAATGTTGCATATGACACCAAGCTGGGGGGAGTAGTACATACACTGCTGGATGGTAGGGTTAGGATTCAGAGAGACCTAGACAAACTGGAGAACTGGACCACAAGAAACCTCATGAGGGTCGACAAGAGCAAGTGCTAAGTCCTGCACTTAGGACAGAAGAATCCCATGCACCAGTAGAGGCTGGGGGCTGACTGGCTAAGCAACAACTCTTGGTGCTGCACTTCAGGAAGGATGTGGAAAAGCTTGAGAGAGTCCAAAGGAGGGCCATATGCATGATTAGAGACCTAGAAACCAGGTCATAAGAGAAGAGGCTGAAAGACTTGGGACTGTTCAGCCTGGAGAAGAGAAGACTCAGAGGGGACTTGGTGGCAACCTATAAATATATCAGGGGCATACATCAGGGCCTGGGGGAGCATCTATTCACAAAAACCCCCAAGGGAGGACAAGAAATAATGGGCACAAACTGACTGATGATTACTTCAGACTAGACACAAGGAAAAACTTCTTTACAAGTCAAGTGCCAAGGGTTTGGAACAGGCTCTCCTTAGAGGTGGTACAGTCACCCACCCTGGCAATCTTAAAAACGCATCTTGATGCCTACCATGCGGTGGGATCATCTGACCTCAGCAGTCTTTCTGGCACATATGCAAGGGGCTAAACCCAATGATCTGTAAAAGTCCTTTCCAGCCCCTAACAACTATGAAACTATACAGAAAAGGACTTGGAGGTTACAGTGGAGAATAAGCTGATATTAGTCAACAGTGTGTCCTTGTTGCCAAAAAAGGCTAACAGGATACTGTGCTGCATTTGTAGGATAGTGGCCAGCAGATCGAGGGAAATAATTATTTCCCTCTATTCAGCACTGGTAAGGCCACATCTGGAGTACTGTGTCCAGTTTGGGCCCTCCACTATAGAAAGGATGTGGACAAGTTAGAGAGAGTCCAGCAGAGGGCAACAAAAATGGTTAGGGTGCTGGGACACAACTTCTGAGGACAGTCTGAGGGAACTGGGCTTGTGCAGTCTGGAGAAGAGAAGACAGAGAGGGTTTAATAAAGCTTTCAACTATCTGAAGGGTGGTTCCAAAGAGGATGGAGCTAGACTGTTCTCAGCAGTGAAAGACAACAGAACAAGAAGCACTGCTCTCAAGTTGCAGCGAGGGAAGTTTAGTCTAGATATTAGGAATAATCTTCTCACAAGGATAGTAATTAAAGCACTGGAACAGGTTACCCAGAGAGGTTGTGGCGTCTCCATTCTTAGAGGTTTTTAAGACCTAGCTAGACAAAGCCCTGGCTGGGATAATATACTTGGGGGTGGTCCTGCTTTGAGCAAGGAGTTGGACTAGTCTCGCGAGGTCCCCTCCAACTCTAATCTTCTATGATTCTATGAAATGACAGCAGCCTTAGATCACAGAAATCACAGAAATGTAGGGCTAGAAGAGACCTCCAGAGGTCATTTAGTTCAGCCCTCTACCTGAGGCAAGATCACCCCTAACCAAACCATCCTACATAAATCCATCATCTCTTCCATTAGCAATGCTACTACACACAGTCAGCCCTGACAGCCACAAGTCATACACCCTAACCCGCCGCAGGTAAAGCGGGGCATGGCAGCAGGGTATGCAGGACCATGGCAGCAAATATCCTGCTGCTGGAAAGATTGTAAAATACACTTGAGAGGGCCATACCCACTGCTACAAAACCCTCCACAGTACATGCCATTCTGACCATGGGGTAAAATTCCTTCTTGACCCTAAACACAGCGATCTGTCTGACCCTGAGCACGGGGCCAAGACCCTCTGGCCAGGAATCTCTGGGTTTCAGTCCAAGCAGAGGCACTGGCACACCCCAGTCAAAATCCCCAGCCTTGGCTGCAGCCAACACTCAATGTTTCTGCTCCCACACAGTATAAACATAGCTACACTGACACATGTGGTAAGTTGCATTCTACCCTCTGGGCTACTACTAGACCTGTACAACAGTGCTCTGCTCCTGCTCAAAGCTATTTACTGACCCACCATCTAGCTGTAACCTCATAAGCTATTTTCTGACATTCAGAAGCTATTGCCCTGATTCTCTAATACCTTGTACCTTAGGCAAATAGCTACACTGGAGCCAACATAGCAGAAGATGGGTTGAAATCCTTGCTGTTCTGTTTTTATTCCCACATCTCATTGCCTTTGCTCAAGTGATGCTGCACCTATTGTTTGGCCACTGGAGAATTAGGCCCAGATTTTTAAATGGAGTGGCCAAAAATAAATAACGTCTTCAGAGATCCTTGTCTCAGACCACTATACCTAAGCTCATGCTAGTACATTTTCTCAAACGTCACACATGCGAGTCAACAGAAATGTTTTCAAATACTAATTGTAAATTACAATTTTATTTTAAAATTCTGATCCAGACTCATTTCTATTAATTCTGTCTTAGGAAAAGAATTAAAACATTTAAGTAAACTCTTTCCAAATACCCACCCACGTATGTACTATTCAAGAGGAATTTGAAAAGAAACCTATGAATTCCAAGATCTGAAAAGGCAATTCTTAAACAGTGCTGGAAAATCCAAGGTGAACTCAATTACTTGCCATAAGTGAAAAGCAAACTAAATGAAAGAGCCCAAAGCATTCAAGAAGGACCTCTACCTTTCATAAATAAAGGACAGTGTTAACAGAAACTAGATCTGTTTTTGGCAGCTAAATCCCAAAACTGACCACAATCATGATGCATAATAATCAAATAACAGAAAATACATTTGTGAGGGCTTATTGCACTTCAAAGTCAGCACTTTCCTATTTATGCTATTATTTTACAATAATATTTGATTTGTTAAAAGTTTGGCAATGAGATGAGTGCGTTTCCAAGTGCTACCTTAATTGTTAGCATGTAGGTATCTGAGACTGCTTCAGTCACATGCAACTGCACCACAGTATGCTCAGTGGAGCCTCCTCCTGCCCACACTAGGTTTACATCTGCAAAGCTTCAGTGGCTGTAGTGGTGTCGCTTCCATTTTACACTTGTATATTTGAACAGTGTAAATCGTTTCTTTAATCTCTAATGATTTTATATTTCCTGAACATTTAAACAAATCAAGTTGTTCCTCTCACAGATAAACAAGTATAAAACTGTAAAGAGTAAGGTATAATGGATAAAATGTATAGTCACACAAGCTGTCTAGGGGATCATCTATGCAGTACAAGGCAGCACTGTGTTGCAACATGCTGCTCCTCCTCCAAGCCGGAACCCATTCATCTACATATGTATCATTCACATGAAGCACTGACCCTGTAAAGGACCTATACCACCTCCAAGTCTGAGCATGCAAAGCAGATGCTGTGCCTCAGGACAGTACCACCTTCAATTATAAAGATGAACTCAAAGACAGCTTGTGGGAAGGCCCGATTCTTCTTTAAGACCACTTTTTAGCTGTCATTTAAGTACAAAGCAGGTGGCCTGTCATGTACAAATCTCCAAGGTCTATTTATACTGCCTAGGAGGTGCAAAGTGGCATTCGTGCCAGTGAGAATCAGGTCTACAGGCTTTGCAATATGACTTGAAGGTCAATTACAGGTTCTGTCAAACCAAGAAGAAAGAAATTAGTGTTTCATGTACTTTACAAACATTCAATTACTGCAGCACTGAGCATTTGCTCTCAGTTATTATAGATAGTAACAATAAGGCAGAAAGGTGAAGAATTTGCTGAAGATCATAAAAGGACTGGAGTGAGGCACCACAGCCAGGATGAACCCTATTTTCATTCCCAAAATTTAAAACTACTAAACCAATGCTGCCCTCTGGTTCAGTGACTCAAAAAAACTTGTACATCAAGTATCATTACCAGCATTCAACAGATATTGGAATTGGCACATAAAATATAGACCACTAAATCAGGATTTTACAGCTAGGCTTGTTGGAAAAGACAGCATATAAAAATCAAATAAATCAATAGGTTAGGAGTAAAACCAGTTCACCAGACAACCCCAGGTCCATTATGACAGCCAGATCAGGCTCCCTGATTCACCTGTTTAAAGCACAGAATGGAGCGAATATCAAAGAAAAAAAAAAATCAAGTAAGATTTTTACCTGTCGTATCTTAAGATTAGTTTCTCCATCGAGATTTGATGTTTCAATATAGCACATGGCTTGAGGTTCACTGTAAAGTAGTAGAGGAAAATTGTCAATCTATAAGTTTTTATATAACAATGACTTAGTGCATTAGTACTTTAAAATACTTAACTTCAGTTGTATGTTGTATGGAAAAGAAGTTAAATACTGAGTATGTATGAAGGCAATTTTTATACAGGTGCAACTGAAAATTACTTAATTGAAAAATTACTAAATCCATCTGTTAAGAGAATCACTTCCCAAAAAAAGTCAACACACAATATCCTGCAATGAGGTTTAAAGAGGTTTACATTAAGTACACATCCTATCCAGACTATTAAAAGATGCTCCGCTTCATTTCTTCACATTATTTAATAAACTCAATATTTCACTTATCAACAATTATCCTTAAAGCTTGCAGTGTTTCTTAACCAGGAGGCAGGCAATTATTTCGGCTGGAAGGCCACTTAATGAGTTTTGGTGAGCTGTCGAGGGCTGCAAGGGTAGCCCTGTCCCTTGATGGGTGCCCCGCCCCCTGGTTGCCATCTTGGGACCAGAAGTTCCACCCCCTTACCCCTGACATTTGCCAATGGAAGTCCCTCCCCTTGCCCCCAAGGTATTCCTTTTGGCAGGGAGGGTGCTGCCATCTTGTACTAGAAAAAAAAAACAAACCCAAAACAAATCATATACTAAAAATAAAATCAAAACATCTACTATAATTTATTTTAAAAATATTTTTTTCCTGATTTGTGTGCGTTTGTATAGTGTATATAAAGGTGATCGCATAATACCTCAAAATACAGTCTTACTCTTGTATATTGGGTAAGTGGGCCTGTTGGGGATGTTGCCCACATTCTCCACCACTTCAGTGCCCTAAGAACCAGGGGTTCTCTTCCCAAATGGAGGGGAAGCAAAGAACTGGATCAATATTGCCTTAAAGTATGCTTCTGTTTTCTCCAAATGAGAGCCCAGCAGCAGGAGTGAGAGGGGGAGTAGACGCTGGAGGCGAGGCGAAGCTGGCTTGCCTCAACAGGGCTTTTTCTCTCCTCACCTCCAGCTGCAGCTCCTGCTCTTGCCACACCGTGCAGCACCACTTGGGGCGGAGGGAGCTTCCTTCAGCCTGGCCACTTCAGCTCAACTCATGGAGCTCTGGCTCCAGCTCCCAGATGCTTTTCATGCACTCTGCCTGCAGAAGCTGTTCATCATACCAGGCAGGCAGAGCTCGAACTGGAGCTCCTGGAGCTGGGTTGAAGCTGTCGGGCTGAAGGAAGCTCCTCCTGCCCCGAATGGCACTGCATGGTGCAGCAGAAGCAGAAGTCGCAGATGGAGGCAAGGGGAGAAAAACAGCCCTGCCAGACCTGGCGGCTTCTGCCCAGCATGTGAAGCTCTAGCTGCAGCTCCCAGATGCCTTCCACCTGGACACCTTCCATTTTCCAAGGTGTCCGGGAGCTCGAGCCAGAGCTCCACGTGTTGGGCAGAAGTCACAGGACTGAAGCTTCCCACCTGCCCACCCAGAGTAGCATGGCAGTGGCAGCTAGAGGTGAGTGGGACAGAACAGCGGGCATGGTGGCAGCTGCCAGGCTCAGGGCCCAACAGCACCTCTGAGCTGTCCCGGGAAGCCTGCTCCCCAGCCAGCCTTCACCTGTGTTGCCAGGCTGGGCTGTCATGCAGCCACAACCCACTCGGAAGGGCCCTGCTCCCATGGGCCGGCCCCAGAGGGCCCTTCCAAGTTGGCTGGGGCTCCATGACAGCCCCACCCGGCTTGGGTGTGGCAGAGACAGGAATAATTTGGCTGTGAAGCCCCTGTTCCTCCAGCCCAGTCTAGCCCTCTGCCTCCACCCTCAGCAGCAAACACAGGGCTGACACAGGGCAAACACAGGGCAGCTCAGCTCAGTCCCACAGCCCAAGCCACTAGCAAGCCACCTAGTTCTGACCATGCTCCCTTTCCCCTGCCACTGGAAAAATGGGTGACAGAGGGCACAGTCCCCCAGTAGCAGAGGTGGGGAAATAAACCCCATCCCTGCTCCCTTTGCCTAGGGGGGGGGGGGGGCCATGCCTCTGGCCACACACCCAGTCAGGCTAGAGAGCAGAGGGGAAGAGCCAGCCCAACTCTTTGGAGCAGAGATCACAGTCTAGCCCAGGGCTAGGATGCTGGAGGACTCTGGTTTAACTTGAGCCAGGAAGGGATCTGGGACAGAATTTGCAAATGCTGGTTTGACACAAATCAGTTAAGTCTGATACTACATTCAACCAGGTTTATCTTAAACCAGTTTTGGCCACTTTGAAACTGGTTTATGTGCACTGAACTTATGTTCTGTTACAGGTTTAAACCAGTTTCTGATCACTTAAACCGAGTTATGTGGAACTTATGTCCCTAGCCATTATGTCTGGCAAACCATCACCAAGCAAGGCCCGAAACAGTTCACCCAGAATCCCCACATCACCCCCCTCTCTCAGCCTTTCACATGTGATTAGTGTGGCCCCACCCTCCATGAGATGGAGCCAGACCAGGCTGCCTGCACCTCATCTGCATAGAAATTTTTGGAGGATCAAGGATCCCAGAACTCATGACAAGAACACTCAGTCCCAATCATGAATGGGGGGCTAATTAGCACATGGATCCTTTGTAGGTGGGGCAGGGTGCCTGGAGTATACACATACTGAGCAGTGCTGAGCTGTGGGGTCACCATGGACTGAAGCACTGTTGACTCTGCTGGGGCCCAGGCAAATGAACTCTATGGTGGATCATAAGCCTTTTGGCTCTGGATTAATATCATGCATAATTCATATAAGTAGATGCAAAAGTGCTGCTTAAAAGTGTGTTTGTGAAGTACCTGTGCTAAAACTTGCAGCAGTTTCAAAAAAGTCAAAATGCATCAATTCTGAATGAATTAAGTCTATAGGAACCTGTGATTTGCGGACTGCAGGAGGGCTACCTGACCCCCCAGATTTATTTTCCTTGCTGTAGCAGTGGAAGGGGGACAAATTCAAGGCAGAACTCCAATCATTAAATTCTATACCTGGAACACTGTAACAAATGTATAAATTCACCATATACAGAATCTAAATACTGGGAAAGTCATCTTGTATTCAAGTAAATACAGTAGTTGACCCCTATTTTAAAAACAGGACCTTCAGGTACCCCTACTTTTAGCTGACCAACTTGAATTATGATTAAGCTACCAATGTTCTCCAGAGATAGTTCCACAAGGGAAACGAGGGTCTGCTAAGTTGGGGATGCCAAAAAACAGAATTCCTCCAATCCTTAAAAGACTTCTGAGAATTTAGATATTTCTTTTTACCTTTTACAATCCATTTACCTAAAAGAGAGCACTGCTCCCTCAAAGGGAAGTTAGAAAAAGTTTGGAAGTGAGAGCATCTGTTAACTGTTGCCTTTTCCAGGAGGGAAATACAGCACCTGAGGACCACAGCAGTTAGTGGCCACTGCTACTTTAAGAGGAGTGGCAGTGTAAAAACACCACAAAGCCACCTCCTCTGATTTTGGGGTGAAATAGAGACTTGGGGGAGGAAGGAAAGAATCTTCAGGGTTGTCTCCACTGCACAGTTCACTTAAGTTCTAACTTAAGCATTGCCCCAAACTTGATTAGGCCCTCAGCAGACTTCATTTCTCAGCAGCCCCTGCATGCATCGCTGTGGCCAGTTTCCATGAAGACCACAACAGCAATGGGGCTGACAGCACCAAGCCAAGGATTTCATGGGGACCAGCCCCAGCAGCACCAGCAGGGTAGACAGCTGGGTGGGGAGCTTCTCTGGGCCTGGGATCTTGCAGCAGTGATGGTGTGCTCTGGAGTGGGGGCAGACTGCAGTCTACTGCCCACATGCCCCAGCAGTAACTTGAGTGAACTTTGTAGTGAAAATATAACATTAAAAACAAAGGCAGGCAAAATACAGCCTTCAGGCTGCATCCAGCCTACCAGGCAAACTCACCTGGCCTGCAGGCACCTGCCAATTAATTGTACCCCACCCAGCCCACATACATTGCTCCCACCCTTGTGCGTGGAAGGGCCCAGACCAGTCAGCACATAGCTTCCAGGTTGGGCTGCTGCTGCCACTGCTTCAGCCACCAGGGGACATGCTCAGCTCCTCGGTGTCCAGCACCTACTCCTTGTCTCCCTGCTGCAGGTAGGGAAGTGGCAGGGAAACAAGGAGTAGGTGCAAGGAGAGGGCAAGGGAGCATGTGGCTGGGGAGAGCGCAGAACTCAGGTGGCCACGGTATGGGCACGAGGGAGGATGGAAGAGCTGTGGGGATGCCCCTCATCATACTCCCCCATAGCACACAGCCCCTACCTCCAGTGGCAGCAGCAACAGCAGGTTGGGGCCCTCAGGGTGCTCACAGACTGTGATGATGTTGCTGCCCAGCAGCATGTGGCTCCAGCCAGAGCTGCACATGCCAGCAAGGAGTGCAGCCAGGGCAGTCCACCTCTATCATGTGGGGCTCTCTGCGATGCATCTGCAGCTCCCAGCACTCATGTGCCACCAGAGGAAGTCCTGCATAATGGATCCGGCTGCTTTCCCCACAGCCTGTCACCATGTGCAGCTGCCAGGACTCTGCCATAAGTGGCGGGGAGCCCCGCACCCTGCTTCTGCAGTGGCAGAGAGCAGGAAAGGAAGTCAGCTCCATCACATGGGGCTTCCCCCAGTGGCACATGAGTGCTGGGAGCCCTGCATGATAGAGGCAAGCTGGCCTGGCTGAACTCCTTGCTGTCATTTACATTTCTGGCTGGAGCCGCATGCCACCGGGTGGCAGCATCTGCACAGGCCATGAGCACCGAGGGCCCCCACCTGCTGCTCCCACCACCACAGCAGCAGGGTCTGTGCACCATAGGGGGAGTGTTTGGGGGGTTGCCAGAGTCCCCCACCTCCCCTCACACCGCCCCGACATATATACACACCCTGCAATGTACCCTATGCCTCCCCACATAGCCACACCCTCTCACAAACCCCACATACACATCCCACCCCAACCATACCTCCCCCACACACACACACCCAACCACAATATACAAGAGTAAGACTTTATTTTTGAGCTATTATGCAATGGCCTCTATACACACACTACACAAACCATGACAAAAATATTTTTTGTAATAAGTTAAAAGTAAGTTCTAGTAGATGTTTGACTTTTAGTATATGAATTGGGTTTTTTTGGTTCAGAAAGGAGTACTTCCAGATGAAGGGGAGGGACTTCCAGTAGAAAAGGTATGGGGTTAGGGGCAGGACTTCCAGGCCAAAGATGGCAACCAGGGGGTGAAGTACCTGTCAAGGGACGGGGCTACCTTTGCAACCCTCAATAGCTCACCAAAAAACTCATTAAGCAGCCTTCCAACCAAAATAATTACCCACCTGTGTATTAGAATATGACATGCATACTGGGGGAGGACATCAAGAGCAGGAGAACCAGCTGAAAATTATTCAATGACATTAACAAAGGGAAATAGAATTAAAGATAAATACTTCTGATCAACACCAAAAGCACTTAGCTTCAAAATACTCTGAGACACTCCTTGAGGAGTGCAGAGTGTAGTCAAATTGCTTTATCAAACCAATATCACATCTGACAAAATTTGTTAAAAGCCAACTTATATGTTACTTCAATTAAAGCATGTATAAGCACCACCAATTAGAAAACCAGTTTGCCTGATGGTTCTTGAATGAAATTGCAACATCATTTCTTTTGCACTGTGAACAATTAAGAGAATTTATTTCTCTAATAAGGGAAATGGATCTTGTTGGCATATAATGCCATAATGTTTGCTATAATATTTACAGTGGGAGAAAGAAAAAAAGTACCATTTAAGGTTTAAAAAAAAAAAACAAAAAAAAAACAAAAAAAACTTATGCTTCCAACTAGAAAAATAATAATTTAAAACCTCAGTTCGACAGAAGCATCATTTTCCATTCACTCATTCAGTATACCTGACCTGGAAGATAAAATGATCATGTCTGCTGGAAGGTGCTGCCCATTGGTAACCTTCACAATGTCTCCGACTGCCACCTATTGATACATGGACAGAAGTGCAGCAGCATGGAGGAAGAAAGAAAGAAACATGAACAGACTGTACATCCAAACTGTTAATTTGTCAACCAACCCCTTCAAGCAAAGAAGAAAAGTACTGCATCATACAAAAAAACCATCAAGAGATTCTTTTGAGTTCAATCTGGTTAGTTAAACTGTTCTTCACAATGAAAACTTGTGATGTCAGAGTATAATTTCAAACATTTAACAAAGGGAAAGCACATCCCACAGACAAAACACACAAACTGTTACCTCAAAAATAAGGTTAATGCTTCTATTTTTTACCAAGTTAGAGTAAGATTAATATGGAAAGGTAAAATACTCTGCCCACTTGTCGAGTTAGCCTGAACTAGATCTTCTATAGATCTGAAACTCTCCTTTGTAGACAACAGGTATTTTCCCCAGTGAAATGAGGTCTCATCTTTACTTTTGCCTCTCATTTGTTTCATATATGATCTGTTTTCCTCCCCTGTTTTTTCTGACCTCTTCTCTCCTCTTTTCTTTCTTCACCATGTTATTTCATTGTTCTCCTCTTCCCTTGACCCTTTGCCTGTCTTTTCCCAAGCACTGAACATCAGCAGAAACTCTAGCATGCGATAACAAGAGTTAGTGCTAGACAGAACCAAAACTTGTTCCTATTCTCACATTTCAAGAGAAATTCCAGCACCTGTTCCTAGAAATGCTGTGGACCAGTAGCTTCTTTTACCCTCAATCTGAGTTGCAGATGTTAAACAGATCCCAGGTTTAGACACCTACATGGTTCCCATCATGACAGCAGACCACCTGTTCTTGGTGATGAAGATTGTGAGTTACTGAACTGAAACTGAAAATGTCACAGATCTAGAAATGTCATTTCTCATACAATTTCAAAAATAGATGGTATCTTTGTTTCAGAAAATGAACCTGACCTTGTTTCCAGTGACTTTAATGGTAGCCTGGTTTTGTTAAAAGCTATTACAGCCAACCAGTTTTCATATTTTAAAAACATATACACATTAAATGCAGCAGAGTAATCATTACAAAACAATGGATAAACAAAAATTCTTGCGACTCAAACAAAATACTTATTCAAAAATCTTTCACATGTATAATGCAAAGGCTATAAGTTAAAAGGAAAGAAAGTCAAAATTCAGCTTTACATCCCCAGTTAAAAAACTAAGTTATAACGGCATGTGTTAGATGCACACACAGAGCTATCGATATCTATTATAAACTCTTCTAAGGGACATGGAACCTGATCTTGCAACTAGTACAAACACAAGTAATCCCACTGACTAACACGGAAAAATTTACCTAGGAACATTTAGCTGCCTGTGCAAGAGTATTGTGAAAACCCATCATATATGCACCACTAAAAACCCACATGAACCCTAAAAGTTGGGGATGGTTCTGATTTGAGCAGGGGGTTGGACTAGATGACCTCCTGAGGTCCCTTCAACCCTAATTTTCTATGATTCTAGGATTCTAAGACTGTGCTACAGTAGAAGAACCAATTTAAATGTTATGGAATGCAAAATGAAAACAAAAGCTGACAGAGGTGCAAAAAAATTCTCAAATCTATGCTTTAAAAAGCATTAATAGCAAATGGACTACACAATAGCTAACAGCCGTTCAAAAGAACATAAGACCCAATTTTCGGCATTATATTTGGGTATTTCACTTCATTACAGCGGAGAAAAACATCTAAAAAGCTCCCTTAAAGTGGACAGCTGAAGAAATTCAGCTCATTGCTGAGAAATTCTTAGGTAGCACCGAGCTACTAGTAGCTCTATGGCGTTCTGAGTGGATCATCCAAAAGCAAATATTTTCAAAACATTTTAAAAATAGAAGACTTCTGTTTACCTCTTTCCACATAATATTCTGCCACATTCCATTTCTCAAAACTGAAAAGAAAATAATTTAAAAATCAGGATAAATATCAGAGATCAAGAAGATTTACACTGCCCAAAAAAGTTAAAGCACAGAAAACGTATTAACCAAGGTCCAACTAAAATATTAAGCCAGAAACATTCCAAAGTATTTCTAAAAAGTTGGGATGAAAATTTCCCCCCACAAAGGAGTAAAGAGGATTATAACTCCTTAACCTTACAATCATATTTAATCACTTCCACATGCTTATGCTCTTTAGAATACAGCTTTCTACCTTCCCTTTTGCTTGATCAATCCATATTATCATTATAATCCTTTCCCAAAATAGTATGTGAAGTGTTAATTATGATTTCACTTTGCATACAATACTCTATAGTAATCTTTAGCTGAAAACTTTAAATTAATTATGCAAAGTAGGTTGCAAACATAGCAATCATTTGGCCAAAAAGAACACAAAAGCTTCTCTTCTGCTCTTACACTCCCAATTCAACCTGTTTATTCCATCTCATCAAACCTTGAAGCTAACATTAAAAAGCAAGAAATCAGCAGTAACAATATGACAGCTAAAAACAAGTAAGCCTTAATATAGCTTCAGGAGGAAGCCTGTTTCTATTTCTGAATACAACAGACTTTAACATTATTGGCAAATTACAGCGTACAAAAACACTACCAAGAGATTACATTTAAATTGTTCTTTTAACTGTTTTAATGTGATACTGAAATATTATTTAAGGTGTTTAAGGATTAAAATTTCCAGATTGTACAGACTCTTTACTCCTAAAAAGGAGACCTAAAACAACCTCTGTAAACAGAGAAATGATGAGATTAACTTAAAACAGTTTATATTCATGAATTCAGCTGAAGACTGGTCCCTGAATGGTTTCTTTTAAAATTCAAAACACTTTCTTCAGTTACATAGGATTTAAATCTCTCTCACATTTGCCTACTAAAACTGTTCAGATTATCTCCAACACACCAAGCTGGATTTGCCAGCCCTTAAATGATTTATTTTTATCCATTTATAAAAGGTTTCACATTTTATATGGTTTCTTCCCACAATACAGGACAACATATATTTTATTTAGAACTTCGTGAGGAGGTCTTATTAACTCCCCCCCACCCCTCCTTCCACCTTGATACTGACTGCTGAAAGAGGACTGCTCCAACATCTCTCCCAGCACGGCTTCTAGGGAACATGTCTGAGAAGGAGCAGAACCAGAAGGGATTTTCTGGTCATTATTTGCTCCTTCACTTGTTCTCTTTTTCCCTTGTTGTCCAAAAATGCATATTCAGGTCTATAGCTACTAGTAAACAATTAATGATTTTAAACCTCATGTGTTGAATTGTTTTAGCTGGAACATAATGGTTAGAAGTATTTAATGGACTAAAACATTTCATTTTGAAACCTACTTAAATAAAATTTTAAAAAGAATCCCCAACAAACTGCCCTATTCTAAATGGTTATTAAAAGGCTGGTTTGGTGATATCTTTAACTGGGCCAGCTTAATAGTCAGCCTATACTGGACCAGTTAATAGAAGATATGTTAGACAATCTTTTCAGGGAAGAAAACAAATATATCATAAGCTAAATATCAGGCTGTTTGGTTTAGGCTGCATCTGCTTCCTTCCCAGACCCAAGGAAGAGCACTTTGATTACCATCTCTCCCAACTATACAGCTGATCCAATAAAAGATATCACTAAACCAGCCTTACTCCTCACATATTCCCTGGACCAGCAGTTCCCAATCTGTGGTATGCATACAAACTGTCAGTGGTACACATTAACAGATTTATTACAATTACTTTACATGAGAAAAAATTGCTGGTGGACCATCCATGCTACAACATTACAACTATGTTGTAAACAGCACAGGTTGTATGTGGGGAGAGCAACAGAGGAGCTGTCCAGCACATGAACATGCTGAAATCTTTTGGCTTTGTCTGTGGATTCTGGATTTAGTCATGCTATCCAAGGAGTACGATCCTAATCTTTAAAGCAGCAAACTTCTGCCTCTCAAACAGAATTGGAACTTGGATGATCCTGTGACACTCTGCTTTCTGGAAGTTTCAAAATAGCTTTTTTATTATGTATTTCCTCTAACAGAAAAATTAATAAGGAAGGGCTGTTGAGAGGAAGGGGGAGAAAATGATTATGATTAGGCCTACTATTTATGTCTCACTGCCAATTCAAAGAACTGACCCTCACTGTTTTAGTCATGTCTTATTTTTTCCATACTATTGGGAAACTAAAATTAAAAGATGAGCAAAAAATTCACATTTATTGAGAATATTTTATTACTTGAAAAGAAAAACAAAAAACAAAACCAGAAATAAACCCAAGTAATTAGTAAAGAATGGTTACATTAATTATCATCTTTTTGCATGCATCTTTGTGGAGGCTTTTCAATTAAGATTATATAAATGTATCTTTGGGTTCAAGAGAAATAGGTGTCTGCATCTAGACACCATCACATCCCACACATTTCTTTCCCCAACAAGCTCTAATTACCATTTACACCAACAGACAATATCCTAGAGCTGAGCAGCACCTAATGTTCATAGTCATGCATTTACTACTTTGACCCATTCTTTTGCTTATGGAATCATAAAAAATACATGACTAGAGTTCATTAATAAATTATTAAGGATTGGTTTTACAATAATTATTCTTGTCAATTGCTTGAATCATGCCATTCCTCTTGCATAATATTTTGTTAAAGGAAAATTTAATTAAATTAAAGGTCTTACCTATTGTTTTCTTCTTGTTTACTGTACTGTCTGCCTTGTGTCGTTTCTATGGTGAAACCAAACACAAACATTTGGTTATGCACAGAAAAAGATTCCAAATGAATAATCTGACAGTTGAAAGAACGTGCCACAAAGAGAAGGAACAAAGGCTGGGGCAGCTCTCTCTCTCATCATTAAGTTAGACTATCTATATGGCTTTACACAACTTTATACTCAGCAAACACCACACAAATATTGCCTTATGTCTAAATTAAAAAGGAGGTATTCACTGTGCTGAAAATATGCTCCTTATACTTTCCTCAGCAGCAGCAAATAATAACGTTAAATGTTTTGCCTCCAAAAACGTTATAAGAAAAACTAAATAAACATACATGACAAACCTGGAAGGCATTAACATTATGGTGCTAAAACTTTGCAGTATGCAAAAAAAGAACAAAAAACCTGATATAGCAAGTATTTCAAAAACTGTCACCTGAAAGATCTTTTGACTAATAACCACACTTTGTTCTGAAATGTTACCCGTCTCTCCCAGGAAACTGCTCCCCCACTCCTGGAATCACTTCCTTTTCCTTTATTTTAATACCACCCTCTAAACCAGTGGTACCCAACCTTTTCACCCAGTGGCAGATCTGTCTGTGGGCTGCATTTGGCCAGAGGGCTCAATATGACACGTGGGGCTGGTGTGGTAGGGGCCTGTTCCGAACACAGCAGGTATGCAACCAAACCCCAATCCACATGGGGAGGGGCACAGGGTAGGCAGCAGCCCAACCCTGATCCAGATGTGCAGGGAGCGATGGGGAGGGAGGGGAGGAAGACAACTGGGAGCAGCCCATTCTGATCCACATGGTGAGGGGTGAGCCTGGCCCTGATCCTCCTGCAAAGCACTGGCCCCAGCAGAGCTAGATTTGGTCACAGAGTATCCACTGCTCCCTCCACTACAAAATTCCTAACCCATAAGGATCCCCATAGGTGACATGGCATGGCTCCACACACTGGGGGTTGAGCACCCCTACTCTAAACCAACTCAATCCAAACTTAGTAAGAATTTGACTAAAAGGTTTTATCTTAAATTACCTTATAGCCTTGGTTATAAAAGCATAACAAACAATAGTGCATTTCTAGACAAAAAGGATGAAGAATGCAAGTAAAGAATACTTTGAAAGAAGACAGGGAAAGGCTCTTCACTAAAATTTCCAAATGTTTCCATTTCATTTTCCTCACTTGTCAAAAAATGGATGAAAACTTTTCTTAACTGAGAACTGTAAACTATAGGACCTCCAATTGAAGCAGCAGCAGTAAATATTGTAATATAATAAAAGACTTAGTCTGTCTGTTTCTGTAACGCTTCTAACCAAATGTGCATGCGCTGCTGAGAGGGCAGGCGGCGATTGGCTGGGCGGCCCGGGCTGCGCGGGCCCAAGTTTGCACCACTGCTGGGGAAGCTTGGTGGTAGGGAATATGCCCCAACCATCCAAGCAGCAGGGCTTCCCCCCAACCTCCCTGCCTGAGGGTGAAGGTGGGGGGGGGGGGGGGGGGGGGGGGATCACAGTGGCGGCACCCCCTTGCCCCCCAGTCTAGACACCCCCCAGAACAGCTGGCAGGGAAGGGGAGATGGCGGGCAGGGAGGGGAGGGGAGAGGCAGGCAGACAGGCCAGGAGAACCTGGAGTGGCGGGGGAGGGGAACAGGGAAGTGCTATCAGACCTGAAGTGCTGGGAGGGGGCGTGGAGGTGGAATGAGGCACACAGGTCAAATAAAATAGTGGTCTTATTTTATGTAAGCATGCATACTGAAAGTATATATAGCTTAGAAGTAAGGGGGTTCTTTTGGTGATATCTTACTGGACACATGCACAGTTAGGAGAGATAGTAGACAAGTTTTGGGGCATTCACATTTTCTGGAGTATCACAGCTAGAATACTTTAAACTTAACCAACTTATAGCTTGACAGTTTATGCAGTGAGACCCCCTGTTTGAGCACCAAAACTCAATGAACAGCTTTTACAGAAATGTGAATTCGTTTTAACACCCTGTATCATCTGTTGCATTGCGTCCCAGTATAATTGTCAGGAAAGACCGGCTACTGAGTTCTCCTTTATTTCAAAGGCAAAAGTTGTACTACGGTACTACTTACAGAAAAATCTGAAAGCAAGAGGGTCTACTTCTTATTAATGAAAATGCTATATTTTCCAGAATAATATGAATTTTACCTACAAGACAACTTTGGAAGCCTTCCAAAGGCTACTGCTCTCCATAAACACATCAAAAGCCTTCTTCATCATCTTCAGACTTTCTGAATGTCATCCTTCAAAGATACCAATGCTAAACATCTAAGTATTTAATTAAAATTCAAATTAGCAGTGTCTAACTGCTTTCTTTTAATTCTGATTTTCACCAACCCCTGCCAAGTATCTATCTCACTGTTTTATAAATAAATGAGTTTTTAGAGCAATATCTTGAGTTTGCTCAAACTGTTAAACATCTGTCACTTTAAAAGGACATACCACTTCCCTTATTACTACATCCTTACATTAATTGCTTATGGGCAAGCAATGTTGCTTTTCCTCAGAGCATTTTCCAAGTCAAATTTTGCAAATAATATTGTACACTGATCTTTTCACAATGATAGTTTGTAAGGAATGACTTTATGCTGAGACTCTTGAATGTAAATGCACAAACCGGAGTATTAGTTTAGGGAAGTTGCTCAACTAGTGCAGGATGAAAAAGGAGCTTTTGGGTTTGAAAAAAAAAAAAACCCCAAGAACAAAAAACCCCCACAACATTGCAAAAAACTGAAAATGCAAAAATTGGTGGGAATGATGAAGCCATTTTGAAAAGTTGGACCTTTATCTGAAAGAATTTTACACACATGGAAGAACTGAAGAGAGTTGTGCTTTACTGGGTGTGACAAATGTCTTAACGTCTCCATTTTAAAACGTAGAAAAAAAATCTCCTTTTAAATATACTGCATAAAACAAACAAATTCAGGAACCCTCCAATAAAACTATTTGAATGACTGTATTATAGGGCAGATCTTCACCTGACAAATTCACCTACATCTGACTCCGAGCCTCTGTGATCTGTAAATAATATTGACTAGCTATAAAAAAAAAAAAAAAAAAAAAAGACTTGCAATCAAATGATTGCATATTTTTAATGTTGTTTCAGATATTCTTATATAACTTGAATACATTTTTTCTCATTGCCCAGTTCACAGCTTGCCTTCAGTAAGAAGCAAGTATTCCAATTCCTACTGTATACTTATAACACAAGTCCAGATGCATTCAATTATTCAAAAAACACCTGAAATGCTATATGAAAAAGCAAAATAAAGTAACAAGTAATGACAGGACCTCAGATACTGGTCTATTAATTCAGTTAAACTCCTCTCAAAATAATGGATTATTTATGTGGGGAAGGGCAAAGTAACAGCTGATTATAGGTTCAGCAAATGCATTTTTCTGAGATCCTTACAAACTTTGTTGTCTGAAGCCAACCATTTCCCAAAAGTAATAAATTGTACTCACATAGTCTTCTATAATCTCCTTGATGCCAGCAACTGTTAGAATAAATATCAATGGCACCAAGGTGGTATATCTTCCTGTTGGAGACACATCTGGAATTTGCTGGAAAAAAAAGAGTCAAACTATTTTATGCAGGTTATTTACAGTTAGAATGAGTTTGAGTTAAGAATTTTATAAGGTTATTAAATGAGTTATGGGACTAAAATAGTAGTCATCAAGGATGAAACATTAATCTCATTACCTACATGTCATGTAGTAACTCATGTATGAAAGTAATCATTCTGATGTACAGAAAAAAAAACCTGCCCAAGTTCAGACAGCTATTGCTTTAAAACAAGGACAACTACATGGAAAGTTTCCTTTTTCCCCTCCATCCCATGCACCCTATGGACGTTTCCGATAGAACTGTACTAGTCAAAAGGTGTTGCTTGAACCATAATCAGTCCCACCTCAATAAGAAGTTTAAAGCATGACACTAAAAAAACCAACAATGAAAGTTTCATAAACAGGAGAAATAAAGGTTTGCATCTCCTCGGTTGTTTATATAGCATTTGCTGCTAGTTATGGAAGGTTTAGTTATCTGAACTAAGTTTCATGAGAAAAGCAAGTATAGGTCATTTTAGAAGTTTCCAGAATTGTATTACCATATTTACTTGAATCCAAGACAAGGTTTGCCAATCAAAATGGGGGGGAGAGGGGGCACGTGACACGCCTCATATTTGAGTAGCAGCCTGGGGCAGGTGGCTACTGTGGCTCTGGCTCCAAGCCCAGTGCCAAGCCACAGCTAAGTTGCTTGCCCTGGGCCAAGACACCTTGTCTAGTAGGGAAGGGGACACACAGTGGGGAACATGAGGGAGATCCCATGGTGGGGACGCATGGTGTGCAGCTCGGGGGAAAGGGAAAGCATGGGGAAGACTATGTAGCCCGCTGCCTTCGAGCTGCTAGCCCCTACTGCCACTTATCCTTGGCTCTGGCTTGACATTGGCTCCTAGTCTGGCTCCAACCCCAACTCATCAGGGCCCACAGAGGCCACCACTGTTTCTGCCTGGCCAGGCTGAACTAGGGTTAGGGCTGCCCCTGCTGACTGCCCTGGAGCTAGAGTCAGAGCTAGAGCCATTGTAGAAGGTAAGGTGGGGGGAGCAGGGTAGATAGAAGGGAAGGGGTGCAGGTACCAGGGGAGCAAAGGGTGGAGGGAGGCACGTGGCTAGGGACAGAAAGCAGGGGCCCAGGCACAGGGGGTAAACCCCCACAATAATTAGACTGTTTACATGAAGAAAAAAAAAATTTTAATTAAATTTTCTATGCATACTATCTAATTATGGGGGGGGGGGTCATCCTAAATTCAAAGTCATCTTGGATTCAGGTAGTTAAAAGGGTTTTCACTCCTTCCAAGGCATAGATGCTTGGATTCATTTAGCTAAATTAAATCAACATAGCTCTACTGATTTCATTTGTATCAGCTAACTGGACCATTAGAACCAAAACAACCTAGCTTTACCAGCACCTGCGTTAAAAAAAATAAATTTAACTTCCTTTTCATAACTTCTTCGGTTACTATTACAGTATTATACACCAATATTAGTAATGTTTTTATAAAAATTGGAATTCATTTTGCAAAGAACTTTGAAAAATCTCTACTTAAAGATGTTTTAAGTTATATATCACGTACCACTGTCACGTGTGCATTTAAATAGGAATTATGGGATCTAATGCCCAATCCTAACATCTGCACCTACCTTCTGCTATGACACACATGTATGGCAGGAGGTGCAAATTTGGGAATGGGGATAACATCCCAAATCGTGCTCTTTCTACTTGTCAGTGCAGTGTGAAAACATGATCCTAAGTTCCCCCTGCGCTCGCAAGTTGAAAGCTGGGGTGCCTATATGTCCAGGGCCAGGACAACAATCGGCTGATTGTTATCTCTGGCCCAGGGACTGCACTGGGGTCTCTAACCAGCCCAATTCACTCCAGCCTGAACGTGTACAATCAGCTGATTGTTGGCTCCCGACAGGGATTGCACCTGGTCTCAAAGTGGCCCTGGTGACCACTGATTGTTGGCCCAGTCCCAAACCTGCGACATGTTCTGTGCGGGCCGGCTCCCGGTCCCGTCCT